CTCAGGGAGGTTTCTGCACCGTGGGATGCTTTTTCCGCCTGTTTTTGATTTGCTTTCCTGTACTTAAACCCAGCAGGGTGTACTCGGGCAACACTCTTTTCCCAGCCTACGGGTCACCCCCACCAGGCACCGAACCTGCACTGTGTCCTCCACACACCACACTCATGCCCCCGAGGACACGCTGGGCACTGACAAAGCATGTCCCAGGCTAAAAATAAACCCCGCGTCGAGTATTTGCGGTAAGATCACCTCCCCTGCCAGCTCCCTGCCAGGCAGCTCTTCCCCAGGGGACGCGGTGACGGAGGAGTCATCTCATGGGGACGCAATTTGGTAACCCCTGTGCTCCCTGGCTGCTGCCACCACATGTCACGGACTGGGAGAAGAGGGAGAGGTTTCCCCACGATGGTGTGTGGGACCACCCGGCTAAACAGGTTTCAGAGCACAGAGGTGAAACTTGACAGATCCATATCAACATGAGGCGGCAACGTGCGCTGGCAGCCCAGCGAGCCGCCGGCGTCCCGGGCTGCATCCCCAGCAGCGTGGCCAGCAGGGCGAGGGGGGATTGTGCCCCTCTGCTGCGCTCTGCTCTGCTCTGGGGAGACCCCCCTGCAGTGCTGCCTCCAGCTCGGGGGCCTCAGCACAGGAGAGACATGGACCTGGTGGAGCGGGGCCAGAGGAGGCCCCGGAGATGCTGGGAGGGCTGGAGCCCCTCTGCTGGGAGGACAGGCTGGGAGAGTTGGGGGGGTTCAGCCTGGAGAAGAGAAGGCGGAAAAGGGGAGAGCTCAGAGCCCCTTCCAGTGCTTAAAGGGGCTCCAGGAGAGCTGGGGAGGGACTCTGGGTCAGGGAGGGGAGCCGTGGGATGAGGGGGAACGCTTTGACGCTAGAACAGGGGAGATTGAGATGAGATATTAAGAAGGAATTCCCAGGGCAGGGGGGTGGAAATGGATAATCTTCAAGGTCCCTTCCAACCCAAACCATTCTGTGATTCGATGGTTCTATGACTCAGGAGGAGCTGCGGAATCAGCTCAGCGCTGCATTGCCTGAACAGCGCATCATACAAAGAACCGAAACCTGAATGGAGCCTTGAAAAATCCCTTAAAAAACAAAATGCCCCGAGTCCCATTCCACCACTATTCAGCAACTTTGTGTACTAGACATCACAAAATTAGCAGTACAGACTAAGGGGCCATCGCACCACCAGAGATAAACATTTCTGATAGTGTAACCCCCTCAGGCTTAGTCCTGCCCACCCATCAAATTAGGAAATAAAAACTGTAAGGTTTGGGTAGAAAATGGGGAATCTTTTCCAACGATACCGCTGGCCTGCAGGAGATTCTTCCCCCTTTTGTCCAGGATGCCATACAAGGTAATTTCCCAGGGATTAGGAGGCCTTTCCTGAGGGAGAAGGTAGATGATTAAGAAGAACACATACGGTATTTGGCATGCTTTAGGATTGTAATTAGTGCACTTTTTTAAGGTATTAATATCTAGCACACTTGTGGTTTGTGTTAGTCCATTCCAGGAACCACCTGTAGGTTGTAATAGTGTACCCATGAATTGTTTTTTTAAATTGCAATAGTGCGTTCCTCCCTTGTATCCACAAAATCTGCAGGAGTGGCGTATTGGACCTGCGAGTGACATTCAAATAAATGGTTAGTTTGAACCTCACAGTGAAATCTCTTTCTCTCCGTCACAGATGGGGAACCACCTTGTAGGGTTTGGTGCTTGGACCATGCCGTGCGCCAATTAAAGACATGGGGTTTCTCTACGTGCCGGGGCGGCTGGAAGGATGAGTTTGTCTTGGAAGTCTTGGCCAGAGCAAAGAAAATAAGAGAGATTTATTCGCAGCACCGGCTTTGATGTGCGGGGGAGCTCCAGGGAGCTTCAAGGACAGGGTTATGGAGCTCCTCCAGCATCTACGGGGAGGGGGGTGGTGACGCTGAGGGGCTCAGGCTGATGGTGAGGAGCTGCAGAGAGGGCTCACAAGCATGTGAAAAAACAATAAAAAGGCAAAAAAAAAGTCCTCACTTGGCATCTAAAATGTTAGATTCCAAGCTGGCCGCGGTCCAGAGCCATCAGCGAAGGAGGATTTGGGCTCGGCCACCCCGAGGTGGGAGCTGTGAGCGGGCAGAGCAGGTAGGGGTGCTCCATGAACCCCAGCAGCCCCCACAAACCCACCAGAGATCCCCTGGGAGGGGGTTGAGGGCTGAGATGCCCACAGCCCCCCCTCTGCCGCCCAGGCGGGCAGGCAGATGCTCAAGTCCCACTCCAGCATCATCCCTCTGGGCGCCTAAAAGTAATTTCAGGATCAGACCCTGGACCTGCAAGGGGTGACCCTTGTGAGCTGCTGATCTCCACCCAGCCTGGCCCTTTGCATGAAAGATCTCAAACCTCGTTTAATTCAGGGATCCATCGCACGAGACAGCACTAGGGCAAGGACCTCCCGGGGACCCCTCAGCAGCCATCTCAGGGTCAACACGCAAAGCCCTTCCAGGGAGGCAAATGAAATCTGGTGGCAATGATGGCAAAAATTCCATTAAGGAATTTTGTCTTACAGTCCAAATAAATGGATGTCTCTTCGTGTTTGACCTTTTGCACCGCTGGCACAAAGTGGGTTTCTTCTTTGTGGCTGCTGTACGCATCCTCCCTCCTCTGTAAATGCTGCTTGGCCAAGGAACAAGCCCTAAAAAAACATGCACGGGCTCTGTCTGGCTGCGAATGATGACCTGACTGGAGTTTAAAGTGATTTTAGAAATGCACTAAACAACACAAGGACTTTCCTCGGCGTGTTAAACCCGAGCTTTTGAAGTGCTGCAGTGGTTAGCCCCCACCAGCTTGCTCTAACTGGGTGAAATGTGCTGGCTGGGGAGTGACGAGGAGATAAGTTTAAAAGGGTTATTTCGCTTCAGATGTCAGCGAGTGTCGGGGGGGGGGTTGGAGGGGAGGGAATAAATCCAATAAAAAGCTGCTAAAAACCCATCTCTGAGTTTCCAAAATAGCTGCTACAAAGAGCCCCTCGTTGCTGGGGTACTTTTGTGTTTCAAATCAGGGATGGGAATCGGACCTGAGGCTGGTTGTGAACCAGCCCCAGCGGGAAAGAGCCCGGGGACGCGGCTGGGGTGGCTGTGGGGTGGGGACACCGGACTGCGCCTGCCCCTGGCCGGGCTCCTGTCCTGCCCCTGCAACATTCAGGAGATGGACCTCTGCCCATAACGGTGCAGAAGAGGGGTGAGGGCCCCTTCTCCAGCCCCGTGGGCAAAGGGCACAGGCTGACACCCAGGGAGATGCTCCCCAGAGGCAACCAGATGTCTCTCAAACACGGACACCGCTTGCAAAGGTGCTTGCTGGTGGCCCAAAAGGTGCCAGACCCCTTGTGGTTGGACGGCACACAGGGGCAGAGCCCCGGTCGCCAGCGTCAGTGACAGACCTCGTTCGTGCCCTACCATGTCACCCACTTCCAAAATCGCAGGAGAAAATAAGTCTCCTCAAATAAATTAAGCAGGGCTAAGGCTGCGGGCTGCCCCCTTGCCCACACTGGGACACTATTTTGCCAGTCCTGGCATGGCTTAACCCATCCTGACGTGCTCTGCAGGGAGCACCAGCCCCCCCAGAGGATGGAGGAATGAAGATCCCCTTCCTCCTGGCACAGCACACCTGCCCCGGACTCATTGTCCTTGTAGTCAGTCATCCTGACAGTAGTGTTCTTCCACCAATTTCACTGGCAGCTTCTTGAAACCATCTCAAATTTGGCTGTGTGCAGCATCCTGGGAAGGAGAGCCCCGTGGTTTAGAAGAATCACCCTGTTGGGTTTGCTTTCAACCCAACACGTGGTCACCTCCTGTTCTGCTCTTGTATGGGACGAGAGAGTGGACAACCAACCCTACTGACCCTCTGCCCCGTCCTCCCCGTCCTCTCTCTTCCAGGCTGATGGGCTCTGACTTACACAGCTCTTTCTCACAGGGATGCCACGTGGACCTCCAACTGCTCCAATTCCCTTCTCTGAACCCTCTCCTGCTCCAGCATCTCCCCCTCTCCTACCCCAGCATCTCCTGGAGGCAGACAGCCATGCACGAGCAGCAGGGAGGGGACACCCCCCTTGGCTCCCAGTGCTGCCTGCTCTGCTCTCCATTCCTTTCCTAATTATTCCTGCAGGCTGATTTGCTTTTTTGACCACTGCCAGCCACCCACCTGCTGTAAAGCCATGGTCCTGCTGCCGGGTGGTACTGCTGGGCTGGGAGCCTGCAGGTGATTCAGCAACACCTTCCTCAGAGACCCTCCTTCAGCCTTGTCTTCATTACCCCGGCTAATTTTGTGCTGTCCACAAGGTCATAGAATCAGAGAGTCATAGAATCAAAAAATCATAGAATCATTGAATGGTTGGAGTCGGAAGGGACTTTAAAGATCGTAGAATCATAGAATGGTTTAGGTTGGAAAGAACCTTGAAGATCATCTCGTTCCAACCCCCCTGCCCTGGCCAGGGACTCCTCCCACCAGCCCAGGTTGCTCCAAGCCCCGTCCAACCTGGCCTTGAACACCTCCAGGGATGGGGCAGCCACAGTTTCTCGGGCCAACCTGCCCCAGGGGATCACCACCCACACAAGAAACAATTTCTTCCTGATATCTCATCTCCATCTCCCCTCTGTCAGTGTCAAACCGTTCCCCCTCATCCTATGGCTCCCCTCCCTGATCAAGAGTCCCTCATCACCCCATCTGAGGTCACTGGTGACGACACTGATGGCCATGTGCTCTTCCCCACCATTGCAACGCTCAGCACCCACCCCAGCCCAGGCGAGGGGGTCCTGGATGACCCTATCTCATGGCGGGAGAAGCTGTGTGGTGGGCAGCTGCCCCCTCTTCTTGGAGGCCACGGACAAGGAGCATTCCCACCGCACGTGGGCAGGTCCCCATGGCACACAGAGCCCAAGACAGCAGGCAGCTCCTTCACCTTTATTTTCCTGTCGTTCCTCTCCTGGATGGAAAACCGGGGTGGACGCCACGGCTTAGAATCGGCACTCGAAAAAGCTGTCTCGGATTGCTCTCTCCTGGGAGGTGACCCTCTTCCCCGAAGGGAAGGTCTGGTAGGTCCGCAGGTTCATCGGTGACACTCGCAGCAAATGCCAGCGGGTCTTCGCGCTGAGCGGTGGGCTGGGGAGGAGCAGAGGACCAAGGAGGGTTACAGAGGTGCAGGCAGCAGGCAGGGAGGTGCAGGCAGGGATTCCGGAGGTGCAGGCAGGGCTTGGACGTAGGGTTGTGCTCCAGGGGCACCCTGGCACTGGTCACCCCGGCAGAGATGCGGAAGCAGGTGAGCTTGCAGCGTTTTCCCCCCATCCCCAAGAGGACACGTTCAACCTGACCTTGCACCGGGCTGATGTGACCCCAAGAGTCCCAATTCCCACACTCCCGCTGGCTCTGCCTGCTCCTGAGCCTCACCATGTGCTCCGAAATCCCTGCCGTCATGGACCGCACAGGCAGCGCCGACGGCCAAGTGCAAGTTAAAAAGCAACACAGAATTGGGACATTTTTGCCCGTGCCATGTTCAGAGCTGATGCTGCAGGGCTGAGGAGTGGTCTCCTGTCGGCAAGCGCCGCTGACCTCCGGGCCACAAATATTAATGCAGAATCAGGTCTTCACACCAGCATCGCCCGGATGGGTTCAGTCATACATCCACGTGAGGAAGGACCCTGGGGATGGGGAGGTGTTTGAAGGGACAGAGGGACGGTAGAGATTACTTTCAAGGCCACCGTTGCTTGTGCCCCTTTGGGGACACGTTGCCTGACCCTCCAGGAGCAGGTCAAAGTCAAATCACTTCTGTGGGGAAGGGTGAGGGAGCAGCGAGGTCCTCAGCGGCAAGGTGTAGGGGTGCACAGCAGCAAGTCAGGGTAAGGATTGGGTCTGGAGATGGTGGTCAGGGTCAGACCCAGCCCAAGGGCCACCCAGCAGCGAGAAGGGTTTGAGGTCAAGCCCAGAGCCAGGTCCAGGCTGAAGTGGAGGAGGTCCAAGCTGCACAGGTGGGGGCTGGTAGTAAATCTTCCGCTTAAAAACAGACCCTGGAGGAAGGGAGGTGCCGGCCATCACCTCCAGCTTCGCTCACAACAGCTCTTATCAGCGCCGGGGCTGACCTTGGTCACTGCCAGCTAAACTCCTGGAAGGGGGATGTGCTCACGGCCCCGACAGCACCTGCGTTACTCCATCCACTTCCACCTGTGCTCCTCATCCCACACATTTCTCCCCTTTGCCGTGAGACCTGGCCTGGGTGAAGGACAGCCTCCCCCACTCCTGCTTGTTTCTCACGGGCAGCCAAGGGTTGATAAGAAAGCGTGAGATCGCCACGGCACACAGCCAGGAAGGAACGCTCAGTGCCCATCAATTAACCTCTCATTTAAGCAGCTTCTCGGAGCTCCACATGCAAAACCGTAGCAGATACACGGGCTTCCATGGCTGGCTGTAGCTCATGGCATCCCCATGACTTCCCATCTCACAGCAAGGAGGGTCCAGCCGCCTCCTGGGCTGTGCGAGCAGGAGAGTCAACCATGGGGCAGAGGCAGCATCTAGCCACCCTCGTCGGTGTCTCCTGTGCTGTGGCTGGTCTGAGGTTCCCCTGTGCAAAGAAGACATGGACATACTGCATCAAGGGCCACCGAGATGGGCTGGACCACATGGTGTGGACCCCACCTGGAGTAGTGTGTCCAGCTCTGGGGCCTTCAGCACAGGAGAGACATGGACCTGGTGGAGCGGGGCCAGAGGAGGCCCCGGAGATGCTGGGAGGGCTGGAGCCCCTCTGCTGGGAGGACAGGCTGGGAGAGTTGGGGGGGTTCAGCCTGGAGAAGAGAAGGCCAAAAAGGGGAGACCTCAGAGCCCCTTCCAGTGCCTAAAGGGGCTCCAGGAGAGCTGGGGAGGGACTCTGGATCAGGGAGGGGAGCTGTGGGATGAGAGCGAATGGCTTCAAACTGGAAGAGGGGAGATTTAGATGAGATATTAGGAAGAAATTCTTTGCTGTGCGGGTGGTGATCCCCTGGGGCAGGTTGCCCCGAGAAGCTGTGGCTGCCCCATCCCTGGAGGTGTTCAAGGCCAGGTTGGACGGGGCTTGGAGCAACCTGGGCTGGGGGGAGGTGTCCCTGCCCAGGGCAGGGGTTGGAACTAGATGATCTTCAAGTTCCCTTCCAACCCAAACCATTCTGTGATTCGATGATTCTATGTGCAAGGAGAGGCAGAGAGCTGGTTGTTCAGCTTCGAGAGGAGAAGGCAAAAGGGGATCTTCCTATTGTCTGGAGCTACCTAAGGGCAGGTAGCAGAGAAGAGAGGATCTAGGGGATGTGGAGATGCAGGACGCTGGATGCATCTTGAATTTTGAAGTGCGTGCTGATAAGAGCAGCGATGGGCACAAGTTAAAACACAGGGATGGATACCCCGCCAGATATAAGCAAAATATTTGAAAATATTTTATCTGAAGTCCTCTGAAGATGACTGGAGGCATTTTTTTTCTGGATTTTTAGGCTCCTGTTGAGCCACAGGAATATAGCACTAGAGGGCACCCTCGTATTTCTGCTGGCGGCTGGTCTGGTTGCCTCCCACCATGGCTCAGCTCCCAGTGCTGGGCTGGCAGCCCTGCAGGTGCTTTTTCAGCTCATTTCAGGTCCAGTGAAATCATCCCAGGAGGCCAGTGTTGCGCTCTGAGCTCAAGGCAAGAAGGAATTTCGGATGCAAGCTACAACCAGCGTTGGTTGAGAGCGATACAATCCTCTCTGATGGCTCCTGATACACTCTTTATTTCAGAGGAGACTTTCCTGTCTGCGATGTCTCAGATGCTCTTATGATGATGCTGAGATCAGGGCAGCCTTGCAGGGTGCTGCTGAGCCTGGTGTCCCACTCCCCAGGGTGCTTCTCCCTTCTCCTTTGTCTGCCAGAGCAGGGTCATCATCCAACACCCCCCCCC